AGGGGAGATTGGTGTATATTTTTACATGGTCTCTCTCAAGCTAATAAAAAATTAATATAGCCGCCATTCTGTAATGGGTAGAGACCTCTTGTTTTCGCCAATATTATTTTAAACTGATGTGCTACTTGATAGGGGTTGTTATTTTAAAACCATAAGTAACCCCCAGCAACCCCTATTTGGGGGTGGGGATGAATTTCAAAATACCCCCAAAAAGTACTTTACATTACCCTAGTAACGTGTATCGAAGCTCGTTTAAATATATGCAGCCGTTACAAAAATTAACCAGGGTGGGACTTTTATGGGACACCCATTACTGGGTGAATTTTTCAAAGGTGTGACTATAGCTGGTATGCTTATTCAATAAAAACATGTCAAAATCCGAGAAATTTTACTATTTTTTCACAATGTATGGCGTTTTTTGAAGGCAAAGGAGTGCAATTTTCGGAAAACGCTGATAAGTGTTTTGTAGAAAATTTAATTCCTTACCTTAAAACTTCTTTAAAATCTTTGCTAGCTCCTACCGTTTTCGAGCTTTAGTCGTTAAATAACGTGTTTTTCTCAATAGTGGGGGGGGGGGGGGGGGGGGGAATTAAAATTTTGAACTGCCATAACTTTTGATAGTATTGACGTAGATACCTCTAGTTTGCTAGTTTGCGCCATTCTTTTTCTTTTTCCATGCCCTTTCATTTAATATGTCACAAGGGGTACCTTGCAATTTTAAAATATATAAGTTAAGGGTAGGAGTAATGATGACTAAATTTATTTTATTATATATATTATATTTTGAGGCAAGCATTCTAACCACTCCAGCTACCCAGACAGTTAAGGAAACAAGTGAATATATAGTGGTACGTTTAAAAAGTAGGATATAAGTAAGTAGCTATCCTAGACTTAGATTTCAAAATGGTCGCCTTTGTTGTATTGCATTATTTATGGCTATGAACGTGTTAATTTATCAATTCAGCCCTACCTCTGTAGAAACTCGCTTTTCCAATGTGCCACTTTATGTTTCTACTCACCGTGTGATGCAATCGCTCACATTCTTCAAACTAGAAAAAAATGGTTTTGCTGTTTTGATACAAGGGGCCTTCTTGTAATATACAATACCAATAACCTATAAGCCTATAACAATACAAATAATTCTGAACTGTTGAAAATTTGTTACTTAATATTAATGTAATTTGTAGATTAAATATAATAATAATAAAATTGCATTTTCAAAACATTTACCATCTTGTGAAAACCCATTATTTAATTTACTAAAATTTACTATTTTTATGCTATTTTGTTATGATTAATTTACAATTTCTTATTTTTTACAGTTAAAATGTTGTTGCAATATAGATGTTGTTCACTTCAACATCAATTGGCAGTTTTTTTTAAAATTACCAATAACAGTACTGTAACTAGAAAGTCAGAGCCGACGATATACGTATATCAATGGCCATAGCTGGTAATTTTTACAAATTACTAATAAAACTATTTCAAAGTGTTGACATCAGTAGCTTACTTTTTATGTTAATACAGCTTGAAGCCACAACTGGGTGAGTGACAATGTTCCAAGGTAAGGTTTAATTGTGTGCAGAGGTCTCACATATTGAATTACACACTCTGTGAATGTGAATGTTGTAGATGTCAGTTGCACTCACTTAGTTATTAGCTCATACTGTCTCGTCTACATTTATTTGGTTTTGATATATTTACACTTACACCCCAGACAGCACACGATATCTATGTAATGTTTATATTAGGTTACACATATCCAGATAACGTTATTGGAGATATTTGAATGTTATTAAGATGTTAGATGGCAAACCTTACATAGATATTATGTTATTATGTTATAACATCTTAATAATAACCCACAGATATTTTTGGATATTTTAGGGATGTCCAACGTGGATAATCTAAATAACGTTTTATAGATGTTACCATTATTGCTGGATTATTATATTAAAAGGCCGATATTTAAAATAAAAAAATAAAAAATGGAAGTAATTTACAGCTTCTATTATATGACCAAAAAACGGTTGTTTTATTTCACTCAGTCTATGTTCTGGGGAAAATATATGTTCATATACTGTTTATCGAGAAGACGGTAAATACATATAAAAGATGGTAAGTGCTGCTCGATTTCATGATGATTTTCGAATCATTCGCCTCGCCTATTCCATCTGATGATGGAGTGTCCAATCGAAATCGATCACAACTTATCATCTTTTATATGTATTTACCGTCTTGTGAGTAAACAGTGTAAGAGTAAATATATTATTACAAGTGTTTTTTGACACATTTTTTTGTACTTTCAGTTAAATAAAGTTATCTAAAATATTATTTTGGTTAAGTAAGTAGTATTATAAATGCATTCAGTCATGTGTCACAATATAACAAACGCTAATAGTCCTGCAGTTGGCTATACTTTAGTGTGCAAACTTGCGTGTACTCTATATTCTTGCATAACGTTTTATTTTGATGTCTAGGGAGTTTTAAAAACCTGGGTGTTTACCTCCTACCCCCCACGTTTTCCGGCTATGACGTCATCAAAATGGCGGCCATTGATTTTTAAAAGCGTATACAACTATTTGTCGGATCGGAATGAACTTTTTTTTTAAAGATAAGTTTGAATACTATCTGTTTTACTATTACACATTTGTTGTATATTTAGTACATTTTTAGTAATTTTGCAAAAAACCTGTATTTTTAAATATTTTTGTGTTATTTTTGTTTGTTAAGTTTTATTGATACAATATATGGAAAACCATTAATGAAAAAAGTTGTAGAAGGTTTAAAAAGCTTTACAAAAATACCAAATTCAATATGTTTTACTTAAAATATTACGTCAAGAAACTAGTTAGATTTCATAAAAACACTATGTTGGCGAAAAAACGCCTATTAGTCCGGCATCTAGGGCAGTGCGCAAGTCTTATATAGACAGTTTTACCATTCAATGTTGATGTATGTGTCTAAAGAAGTGTTTTAAACTCGGGTGTCACGTCTGCGACCACTGCAGTTTTCGGTTATGACGTCATCAAAATGGCAGAAAGGGCTATATTAAAAAAAACTATATTTTACATACCATGAATCGGACCGGAATGAACTTTTTTTGTTTGAAAGATAAGTTGACATCTTTCTTACATTTACAGTTTTGTTCTATGTTTAGTACCTACATTTTAGTAATTTTGCAAAAACCTATATTTATTTATAAACATTTTTGTGTTATTTTTTTATAGCGTTATTATGATACAATATATCAGAAATAACTTAAAGAGAAGGTTGTAGCACGTTAAAAGGCCTTTACAAAAATACCAAATCCAATATGCTTTACTCAAAGGATCACGTCAAGAAACTAGAAAAATTGTTCAAAACAACCTAATTTGGCGCAAAAACCCATATAAATCCGACATCGATGGCTGTGTACGAGTCATATATAGACAGTTTTACCATTCATTGTTGATGTATGTGTCTAAAGAAGTGTTTTCAACTCGGGTGTCACGACTGGATCCACTGCAGTTTCCGGTTATGATGTCTTTAAAATTGCTACATGTTACGATTTCACCAACTATTTTACTTAAAATAAGACCTTTACCCCCTTTTATGCAAATAAAAGCAAAACAAATCAATGTAATTAGTCCATAGGAATGTTCCCACTATATAAATACCCCCGGTGCAGCAATCCTGTCGACTAAGCGAATTTCCATTTGCCTGGATTGATTTTAAATTAATCTCTTAAATTAACATTGTTTAAGAGTACCTAGGTTTGCTGTACTGGCCTTACATTTTTGAAAACGACCCTTGGGCTCTGCCCCAGTGGCTTTGAAAGTTCCCATGTTATCCTTATGAAGAACATAATTGTATACATTTTGATCAGCTGTATAATTTAATAGCTGTTATTTATTTTTCAATTCAATGAAACGCATTGAGTACATTTATTTACTATTTGAGTTTGTGTAAACATAACCTCCAAGATGGATCGTGTAAGTATGGTTGTATCTTAAACTTGTGTATTTATCGTTGTTTTGAGTAGCTATAATTTATTTATTTGTTATTTTTATCTTTTAAATGCATCCGACGCGACGACAACGAAACTTAGACAGGAGGCGTAATAGTGATAACGACCGCAGCTACAGAACAGTGGCGCGTAATAAACTTAACTCATCACAGTCAGCACCTGACCCTGGACAATCTCAACTATGGTTACAAATGCGCCCTAACACTACCCCAAAACGAATTTTCGTTCTCAATTGGCCTTCTATCAATGACCTGTCCCTGTGTTGCCTGGACAGCAAGGCATTTTGAGAAGGAGGAAACCGGCCGGAATGCTTTAGGTTTATCAATAACGAAGATAAACTTGGTCTGAGACACACCGGTAATCTTTAAAATGACTGTTTTAAACTCATCGTAAATACGACTTTTATTCGTTTTGAAATAACTCCTGTAATACTTCGCAATTGCTCGAATTCGAGCAACATGTACACTACGGTATTTCTCATTATTCTGTTGCTCCGCTATGTTGTTCTGATTTATCAGAATCAAATGAGATTCATATTAATTAATCAGCGCAATTATAGTAGGCCTAAGTATTTATATAGAATTTGGATATGTACATGTTCCTGGAAACAAAAAGCGAATCAATGCAATATTAATAAATTGACTGCTCAGAAAGAAAAAAACTAGGCTAATATGCCTATTGGAGCTATTCAATGTCAGTTCAGAAAGAAACACTCAAGATATAGATGTCCGCACATTGGTATGCCGGGAAGGCTCGCTCCTTGCTATTGAGTTATCTTTTTTCTGTCAGATAATTGAGGTACAGTTGATACCACAGTGTTATAACACTCTAACTTAGCCCTGTTGGAAGTGTATTACTTAAATCTACTATAGTCTACACTGACCTAATTTATGGATGAATGGTCGATACACATAGTACGATCATTGTTTAACACATTGATTCTAAACTAAATATTTCCTAGCCTACGGTAGTTTATTCGTGATTTACGTACAATAACTCAGGGTCCAGGCCCAGTCCTACAGGTACACTGACGATGCCGCCCTTCATTTGAGATAACTCTAGAAGTGTCTGCAACTCTTGTAGTCTCTGATCCGATGGTCGCTTTTGTCTGCAACACGACAGTAAACGTCACAATGGTTAATCGTGGTTTCCATACTAATTATGGTCGCCATTTGTAAGAAAAGTATAAAGTAAAGTATCTATCAAGCTTTACAACTAACTACGTCAAAGTGGACCTCTAAAAAACCATCTACTTTTTTTATTCACCGAAACCTTATTTGGAAGAGCTTACAAAATGGGTTGTGAATCGAGACTGATGTACCTGTACTAACTAACGAATCGTGTGAGAAAGCGAACTTTTGCGATTACTTCCCAGAGCCTATCTGAGTACTTGCAGGAAATGATTATCGCGTTTTCAATTGATGTGGAAGACGTGTATGTTTAGCAAGGAAAAAGCAGACGAGATTTTCATTTTGATTGCTTTGTCAATTCAAACCATTTTCTAGAGGCCATTTGGTGGAAATATTGGAAACTTTTACTGTAACATTTCGGGGGGTCTGGGTACATACCAGGGAATGGTATAACTTTTCCAAACCGTTCCCACCAAACCTTGTATGCAACTAAAAATAATTGCTTTTAATAACTCGCCTTAAAAAACATGGTAGTATTCGTAAAAGCATTGTGGTCGTCAAAATATTATAAGCGTAATTTTTTACTTTCAATTTTTATAAAGACAACATTACTTTAGTTCATATAATTGCTAATAACAAATGCGTGGTTAGTAACAGGAACAGTGCCTGGAAATTACCCAACTCCCCATAATTAATTGTTGTTATTAGCAATCTATGTTCGTTTTAACACCTACCCCTTAACACCTCTAAGGGCAACGTTGTCGCAAACTGATTTAAAATATCTCAAAATGGTTAAAAAATAACAGGGGTGCAAGGTACTTAGGCATCTTGTATATATATATATATATATATATATATATATATATAGGGTGTCCCGTACAGTCTGTCTGTATTTATGTGTTTTTTACAAAAAAACATTAATAATTCCTAAACGGTTTGAGATACAGCGTTGTGTTTTTGCAAAAACGTTTAAGACCTATCTCTGTTTAAAATCATTCTAAACTAGTGTACATGTTGCTCGAATTCGAGCAATTGCAAAGTATTACAGGAGTTATTTAAAAACGAATTTTTTTTTTTTTTTTTTTTTTTTTTTTTTTTTTTTGTCCTAGGACGCTAGGCACGAGCCTGGATTGTTTTTCACATTACTTCAGGCTAGACCTAGGGGTTGCGGCATTATCACTTAGATAAAATCCATTGGTGACTTGGCGGGGATCGAACCCGGGACCTCACGGACCGAAGTCCCGCGCTCTAGCCACTACGCCAGCTCGCTCCCGTTTTATACTACCATTTAAAAACGAATAACAGTTATATTTACAATGAGTTTAAAAGAGCCAACTCAAAGATTACCGATGTGTAACTCAGATCATGTTTATCTTCGTTATTGATAAACCTATAAAAGCATTCCGGCCGGTTTTCTCTTTCTCAAAATGCCTCACAGGCAACACATGTCATAGATAGAGGGCCAATTGAGAACGAAAATTCGTTTTGGGGTAGTGTTAGGGCACATTTGTAACCTAATAGTTGAGATTGTCCAGGGTCAGGTGCCGACTGTTAAGCCTATATTACGCGCCACTGTTCTGTAGCTGCGGTCGTTATCACGATTACGCCTCCTGTCTATGTTTCGTTGTCGTCGCGTCGGAGGCATTTAAACACAACAACAAACAACCAACAAACAAATAACAAATAAACAAATTATAGCTACACAAAACAACGTTAAATGCACAAATTTAAGTTACAATCATGCTTACACGATCCGTCTTGGGGGTTATGTTTACACAAACTCAAATAGTAAATAAATGTACTCAATGCGTTTCATTGAATTGAAAAATAAATAACAGCAATTAAATTATACAGCTGATCAAAATGTAAACAATTAAGTTCTCCATAAGGATAACATGGGAACTTTCAAAGCTACTGGGGCAGAGCCCAAGGGACTTTAAAAAAAATGTAAGGCCAGTTTGCAAATCTACGCGACACGCTCTTTCCAATGAGACGTCAATGGATAAAATCGGTTAAGAAATGGCGGAGGAGTTCAACCGACAAAATTTCATGTAGCGTATTAATTATATAGATAATCATTAACCGTTTTAAAATGGCAGCCATTTAAAATATTTCATGCCAAATTTCACGAAAACCGGTAACTTAACAAAAAAAATTGCAAAAGACAAAAAGTTTAGTAAATTTTATCTAGTTTTTAATGGTGCCTTCCTTATTTGTTAAGAATGTATAAATAACAACAGAGAAATGTCTTCTTTCCCAAATGCATGACCACTTTTCTCCATTTAAACAATGCTAATACAGTGGAACCTTGATAAGAATACCCTCGATATCAAGTCATCCTTGATAACATGTGGCATTTTCAAATCCCCTTAGATTTATTATACCCCTAATTACATGGCATAACCTCGATAAGAAGTCAATCTTGATAACAAGTCTTATTTTATAATCTACATGAGAGTCTTGTTATCAAGGTTCTACTGTACTCCTTTTACGTTGTTTAGCATTGTTTAAATGGAGAAAAGTGGTCATGCGTTTGGAAAAGAAGACATTTCTCTGTTATTACTTATCCATTCTTAACAAATAAGGTATCATTGAAAACTACATACAATTTACTAATTTTTTTGTTTCTTGCAAGTTTTTCGTTAAGTTAACGGGTTTCGTTAAATTTGGCATCAGATATTTTAAGTGGCTGCCATTTTGAAACGGTTAATTATTTTTTAGCATAGTTAAAAAAATATAAGTCTTAATAAGATAAACATTATGCTAAATCTCGACGCTGTATCTCAAACCGTTTAGGAGTTATTTTAAACACATAAATACAGACAGACGCAAAACTAGGCACCACAGACCCATGTTCCTATGGTGAAAAGTGTTTGTATTGACCTAGGCAATAACGCTATATACATGTGTCCAGAGAGTTACGGGACACCCTGTACATACACCTACATATACATATACATTATATATTGTTTATTTAACATAACTTAATAAGCATCAAAATCTATTCATAATATTCATAAAACTCTATAGTAAAACAGAACAGTGCAGTCAAATGCTGTAGAACCAACGCTAACATGTAGTAAATACGGTTCAGTAATAATATTGTGATAGCTATACAATATTATTAGATTTAGACCTTTATTACACCAGAATGATAAGATTAGAAGCCTTTGTTGGATCTGGTCAATAGAGATCAATAATATCAGTGTCATTGAGTTAATACGAAATATCCCCTCCCTTCATAATAGCAAATCCTAGGCAGAAATCAATTGCAATCCAACTCTCTCAATCCATCAAAGAGCAGACACTGGTCAGTGGTTATAGGTTACCTTTAGCGGGTCATGTGGGTCGTGTGTTGGTCCCCAATTCGATCTCCAGTAAGTAAGTTTAACTACCGCACTTGATGTCCGACTCCCATTCCTGTTACGGTTCAAAAGTTATTGTAAATTATGTTATTTTCACATAAAAACCCCATAAAAAATATGATTAAAAAACCGGGTTTGATTTAACTTAGTATGTTATGGTCCTTACAATTTTGAAAGTTTATTTTCATTTTTTTGAAATTTTGATTTTTAATGGGGATTTTCCCATAACACCCCATAAAAATAACGGAAATATAGGATTTTCTCAAATATGGCCCGAACGATTTTCTTAAAAATGTAGTATGTTATAGTACTTTAAGTTCTAAACAAAATGGTACAAATCCTATTTCCGTAAAAACTATGGTTAAAAATTTATTGCAACTTATGTTATTTTCCCATAAAAAACATAAAATAACAAAAAATCTGATTGTTGGAGAAAAGCCGGTTTTGATCAAAATTAATATGTTATGGTCCTTATAATTCTAAAAAAGTAGTACAACACCCCATTGCTGTAACAATTACGGTTAAAAAGTTATTGCAACGTTTGTGATTTTTAACTATGAAATATCATATTTGCTCTCACCGCTTACCATGGTAAAGGTTGTTGACGAGCGTATGGGAGAAAGTATGTGTCAGAATGCTGATACCCTTTATTTTTTCAATACTCTCCTACGGCTATGCCCTGACAGCTTATCAAGTCCAATGTTGTTCTTCGGAGTAACGAAGAAAACCACTCGAAATGACACCCAACCCGGTACGGCAATCAATAGTTTTTTTTATACTCATGAATTCAAATGGGGTGAAGCCCGCCGGTAACAGCTATTAATCAATAAAACTTTATATATATATATATATATATATATATATATATATATATATATATATATATATATATATATATTATATATATATATAAATGGAGTAAATTTGGTCTCCAGAATTATATGTACTTATACTTAAAAGTCGCACGGATCTTCGAGACTAGAATGATATAAAACATGTCTATAACTAAAACATTAGCTATTTTGATTAGGTAGTAATATTTTGAGGACTCAATCTACATCTTCACTCTGATCTACACCAGTGTTTTGGAGACATACGTGAATGTATTGTAGTATGTAGTGTGTTTTCCTTGCAATGAGTGGCGCGTCAGGACTCGCGGTTTTGCAATCAACCGTTGGTTTTCTCAGATCGCGTGACTGCAATATAAGTGTTTTGTTTTAGCATTTTGGTAAAGCGTTTCCAGTTGATGTTTCAATGCGCTCTATAACTTCTTGATTAGCCAATGAAATGAACGTACTATGTTGTTTTTTTTTTTCTGCACACATGTTGTTAGGTACACAAAACACTTCCTCATCCTGCTCGCTGCAATTAGTAATCTATTACATATCATAATTATGATATGAGTGGAGTGATTATTACATTATCTTTGAGTAGACTCTTTTAAGTCATCGGATTTAGGTAACCAAATCGAATCGAATCCCACCAGTGACACTAACTTTTTGTCAACGATTTTGCTTAGAACTAGTGTACATGTTGCTCGAAATGGAGCAATTGCGAAAAGGACAGGAGTTATTTATAAACAAATAACTTTTTTTTTAACTAATAACAGTCAT